TATATATATAAAAGCCGTTAATAAAAAAGTTTCAATCCGTTCCCCATCTGTTAAACCGTTAACCCGATACCAATAAGTCATTAAGCCATTTTTGCGGTTCGATTTTCGGTTTCGGTTCGGTTTTGAACACCCTTAATGTGGCGTGTCCAAAAATGCCATTCTATGTTTCATATTGTGGCGATTTCCCGCAACCGCCGTAAAATCTCTGATTCTTTTGTAGTACATTATGTATCACACTCTCATAGGAGCGGGTCATTCGCCTCGGCAATATAATAGATGTATATATAGTTTGTGACATTCGACCCTCGGTAGTGCACATATTATGATGGGATCGGGCCGTATGCCTCATCATTTCTATAAAATACTCTTATGGAATCGAGTGTAATATTTGACAAAAAGCCAGTGTATCTGTAAGTTTTTTCTTATTTCAATTGTGACGACCTATCTGGTAAGGCCCATTATATATATACTCTGGTTGAGGAGGTAACAGCTAATTGAGAGCTCGCGTTTATTGTTGAGAGGAGGATTGTACCACGTATTATACTTATTATTCCGTGTATTTACTCCGCCTCACATATGTTTACTTTTATTGTATCTCTCTTATTGGGCCACTAGTAAGTGTCGATGTCGACCCCTCATCACTACTTCTCTGGGGTTAGGCTAGATACTTACTGGGTACGCATTGATTTACGTACTCATGCTACATTTGCTGCATTTATTGTGCAGGTATATATATGTTTCTGGTGGTCCTCTGGGCGCAGAGGCACGACATTTGCGGGGACTTTACGGTGATCCGCATTCCATGTTACGATCCACAGCATACAGAGTCTCCAGTAGAGTTATTTATATTCTCCTGCCTAACTTGTATTCCAGACATATGTTGTATTTTATTATATTTCTTAGTTAATGCTCATGCACTTGTGACATCGGGTTTTGGGGGTTCCTACGGGTTGTTCATTATTGTAGTTCGTGTAAATATTATCATTTACCCTATAAATTCTATTTTATACTATTTAATTAATGAAAATTATGATTTCAAAGTAATAAAATGAGTAAACAAGTTGATCAATCACCGTTGGCTTGCCTGACGGCGGTGTTAGGCGCAATCACGACCTATAGTAGATTTTGGGTCGTGACAGCTTGGTATCAGAGCGTTAGGTTTACTTGGGTCTTACGAGTCATGGGCAAGTCTAGTAGAGTCTTGCGGATCGGTACAGAGACATCTATACTTATCTTTGAGAGGTTACAGGGCTGCTAGGAGCACTTCTTTTCTTGATTCCTCATCGTGTGATTTGATTCCTTTGAGGCTTATGCTTTTATTTCCTTCCTACTCAATCTTATGCGACATGAAGCGCTTGTTATCAATGGGATATCGAGGAGTTGTAGTGGTACTGCAGACGTGGTGCAGGATATTTTTTTTCCGGCATATTCAAGCAGGCTATCATCGTCGCCTTGTAGAAGGATGTTCTGTCATTCAGCTCAGTATTTGTATTTCCTATTATTTTGAGGCTATGCACAGATTGCTATGATGTTCATGCATTGTTATCACACAATGTTGGTGTTATGGTATGGTATTTATTTATGTGTTGAGGTAGTGAATGACTTGAAAGAAGGATTTCTCATTGTATGATTTAGAGGTTCGGCATTTAATTCCAGCGGAGGAAAGACAATTGGACTATAGATGTTCAGGCTTTGGTTGATGGAGTAACGAGACTTGATATTTTCGAGCGTGGTGGAATTCTCATTTGTGATGAGGTGTCATCATCCTTGTTGGACGCATTAAGGTTCGTCGGTGTTATGGTCTTCTTGATTTACCTTCAAGGCAGGGTGCTGTGAAATGGTGCTTGAGAAGCGGTTGTCAAAGATGGCGGTGTGTAGCAGTTTCAAAATCGAATCGGTGTTTCTAATGTTGATGGCTCGAGAAAGATGATCTGTGATGAGGCTTAGAGTTGGTAGCAATTTATTAGTTCGGGTGCTACAAAGATGGATTTCGATTTGAGGCGGTATTGGGGTAGTGAAGGACAAAGAAGGACATGGTGGGAGGTGTCTCGCAGTGATTGAATTAATAGCTTGTCAAGTACGCACAACAGAGGTCGAGAAGTTGCTTAAGGAGATGGGTTAACCGAAATGGGAGTGGCAGAGTATCGTATAGATTCAGTGGTAGGATAACCACGTGCCTTGAGAAAGCTTAGGGCGATTTAGGAAATCG